ATTTTTTTTTCTTCTTTTAGGTAGTGTAGTACCTCCCCCTTGGTTTTTCTTTTGACCACGGTTCTTTTCCAAGGGTTTTTCTTGAACCGGGTTAGGTAGATTTTTCTTTTATAGTTTTAGGATTAAATGGGTGAAGGTCAGAATGTAACCCCAAATGTGCACACTTGCAAAGAAAACGAACTAAGGGTGTAAGATCTAAGCTTGTTTGTGGACTCATAATATATACCTTAATTTTGCACATCTTGTCTTGCTTGAACACCCGTATGATTGTGTTGATGAACTGATTCGGAATGAGTTACATGCTAAGTGGGTGTGAGTTGTTACTTGCATTCTATGCTTGCATATGATACCTAGAACTTGCCCTGTGTGTTTGCAAAGCGAAATAGAAGTCGTTTGGTTTTAGAGATGATTGAGGCATTTCTTTGTGCAACCCTTTATACTTGAGAATCCACCTGTGAATATTACCATAGTTAACCCCTTTGAGCCTGAAGCCTATTCTTTGATAACCCTATAATGATCTAAATCGTTGTGTTTGAATAAGCTAATTATTTGAACCGTTACCTCCTAGAAGCACTTGAATCACTAAAGAATATACAAAAGTCAAAGTGTGAGATGGGAGAGAGTTAGTGAAAAAAGGGGAATCAAGAATGAAGGTTCTGGTTGGTGAACTGGCAGTGTACAATCAATATGAAAAAAAAAAAAAAAAAGAAAAAAAAAAGAGAAGAAGCAGCCAGTTGGACCTAACGAAAAGTGGGGGTCACAAGTGAAACAAAATGTGGAGTAATGATTGGGTTGAGCATAAAGGTAAAATAAAAAAAATAAAAAAGAAGTGTGTATTAAAAGTGCTTAGGGAGGTTAGTCACTATATCCAAATATATCCTACCCGTCCCTTAGCCTACATTACAACCTATAAAGACCTCTTGATCTTGGACTGAATGGCTCGATTAGTGGAGTATTACACTAGGGGCAAGCTTATGGTGTGTCTGTGTGGCATGTGAATGCTCTTTGCTGAGAGTGAGTGAATTCTTTCCATATATGGTTCCTTATTGTTGAATTTTATGTATGTGGAACTTCTCTCAGATTTTGTTTATGTGAGGGCATGTGACTCAGGAAGAAAAAGTGAGTCTTCACTTCTGTTAGAGTAATTAGAGTGAGCACAAGTGTCTCTGGTATGAGAGTCTGCATTTGAGATACGATTGTGCACTGCTTGGGTCGATCATTGTTAATAGCAGGTGTGACACAAATTGGGGCAAGGCGTTGAGCAGTTAGGCCTAGAAGTGTGGTTTAGTTGCTCGAGGACGAGCAAAGATTTAAGTGTGGGGTGTTGATAATAGGTGAATTTGTCTATAATCACACCTTAAATAATCACCTTCTTGTGTAATTTTAATGCTAAAAGTGATGACAAAATGCTCTTATTAGTGTTTTTCATGATTTGTAGGTGATATATGTATAAAGACGGCTAAGGAGCAGTTTTGAAGTCAAAAGTGATGAAAAAGAGGCCAACTGTGAAATTTCCTAAGTGACCCGTGCAAAAACAGGCCGAAGATTCAGAGAACTGGATCCACCGCGGTTCCACCGCGACCGCGGCAGAACCGCGGTGGGAAGCAGCTGCAGAAGTTCAGAGATTCCGCGAGGGTGTTTGGCCGCGGTTCTACCGCGACCGCTGCAGAACCGCGGCAGGCGCAGAAACTTCTGGGACCAAAGTGTCAATTACGGGATTTTTAGACCTAAACCCTATTTAAAACATTAGACTTCGCCCAAGAGAGGCATGTATTGATTTTTTTAGGTTTCTTAGCAAGAAAAACAATTGTGAGAAAGTACTCTAAACATCTTTCTTCTTTTCTTTTGATTTTATGATGAATTCAAGCTTAGTTTATGTTGCCATAGTCATGAGTAGCTAAATTCCTTGTCTAAGGCGTTGATGGAACCTATTGGGTGATGAACTTCTTGTTTATGTGAATACAAATTGCTCGTTTAATCTTTATTTGTTCAACTTCGTGTTCGTTGTAGTTAATTGACAGGATCCTCAATTAGCTGTGCCTATTTAGTGTGCATAACTTGGAAAAGAATGCATATTTAGGGTATTGTTGAACAACACCACTCCTAGATTATTAGAGGAATCTATAATTGCGGGTTTAAAGGCGGGATTAGGAATAACGAAGCCTTGGGTGCAATCTAAATTGAATTGTGCTAAATAAAGTAAGCTAGTGTATCTCGGGAGAGTGCAATAGTAAATTACTGTGATTACTCGGGAGAGGTTTACGGTAAGATTAGCGTTCATGATTGATAGAGATGTGTGGGTAAATTTGTCTGAGCATAAACAGAAGGGATTCCATCAATAGGGGAAATCATTGCCTTAGCTTTTTCTCATAATTGTTTACAACCTTTAATTTTTACTTAGTTACAGCTATTTAGTTATTTGCAAGCTAGTTATTAAAGAACACTCAACTGAGATTCGAATATTTGGGAAGCTGGTTCTGAAGACTTAGTGGGTCTGAAGATAGCAGTTGATAGATTAACTCTCTGTGGATTCGACCCTGGGCGTAATACTCGGGTTATATTTGCAACGTCCGCAGAGTCCTTTTTATAAGGCATAGTTGGGCGTGATCAGTAGTTCTAGAGATATACTGGATATTAATGAACCGTTTGGTGAAAAATTAATGGTTTGGGAGGTGATTTCTGTCAAGTACTACCAGTAGTTCCAAAATGATAAAAGCAGAGACTGTAAAAGCTCGCTTGCCATAGTTATACCTCTGGCCTCAAATGAAAAAGATTCAACTCACAAGAAATATAAAGTAAGAATAGATCCAGTATTCGGTGTCTTACTGCTTCGTTCTGTAAGCGAAGAAGAGCATCCAATAAAAGATGGTTTGGTTCTTCCTGAACACTTGGTTAGCAAACCCAATGATAATAGTAATGCATTTAATAAGAGAAATATTTCTGTTAATAGATTAAAACGCAATTTGTGCAAATCGCATGATAGAATTAGTCTTAGCTAGCAAAAATATATATGTTGATCAACTAAATAAAATGTTGGTTGCAAAATTTTTATAGTAAAACTAAAATATTTTTCAGTTTTTGACTCAGCAAAAATGATATCAATAATTACTACCGAGAAGAATACTTAAATACTTTAATATCAAATGGCCTTCTACCATACATGTTTGTTGTTTCTTACGTATGTTAGTGTCACTGTATATATAACAGACTAAGTTAAAATTGATATTCTATTGTATGTAGATTGATTTTGAAGAAAAATATGCATGTCATGCTACTGAAAAACTTAGATACACCGAATAGCTTATGTAATAGCACACATATGGTATATAGAAGTTTTGACAGTAACATCATACATGCAAAATTTTGATACTGGTCAATGTGCTTCTAAGCATATTCTTATCCCTGAATTCAACTTTGGACTTCCAAAACTAAGGAATATCCTTTTAAATTTGTGTGAAAATAATTTTTAGTATGTTTGTTTTTTGTAAATATTATAAATAAAGCACAAGGACAAACATCCTAAATATTAGACTATATTTATCGCAATATGCTTTCTTGCATGAACAACTGTATATTATACTTTCAAGAGGGATATCAAGATCGACAACAAGAATTTTGGTTAAGGCAAAGCAACCAAATCATTAGGAGGAAATATACACACAAAAATATATCCTCCACAAAAAAGTGTTACATTAAATACTTTTAAAATATACTCTCTCCGATCCACTAGGTTAATATAGTTAATTGTTTTGTTAATTAATGCTAAAAGGTAAATTCCTTAATATGTGTGAAAGCAACCAAAAAATTACTTGAAGTGGACCAGAGGAAGAAATATATAATTATCTAACTAACATGACAAAATTGATCATTTGTGTAAGTTTTGATGATGTCCTTTTATATTAAATTCATGTATTATGCTAATGTAATAATATTTTTCGGCATTTAGATGATTGTTGTAATATTATTATACATAAAATTTCCCTCATTAATTAAATTTTATTATTCCTTCATATAAATAAATATTAAACTATCACGTGCCATTATTAACGTGCAACGCATGTTCATAGATACTAGTACTATATTAAAGCACGAATGCCTTTAACGAAATATTGTTCGCCATTTTTGTCCCTTAAAAATAAATTTTATATTAGGCAAAATCGTCAATTTAAGTTTTCTCCCTAATAATTAGGAGTTTTAACTAAACTAAATTAATGCATTAAATTCTTCCTTATTTGAAGTATGTACACAAAGTCCTAATATTAAATTTCTTGCGTAATTCCTTAATTAATGACGTAACATAACAAATCTATTACTAACAATAAAAGCAAAGTTGGAAAAGTTTAAGTGAATTTTTTTTTTGACATTCAAGACTCCATTTTTTATAACCATTAAGAACTCCTTTTAGGGTTAGGAGTCTTTGGTCTTCGTAAAAGAAATATAATGATTAATTTTAGCAACATAACTAACTCAAAAGCAAGAAACTAATATTGCATAGAATGCAATCTCAACTGTTCGAGGTACATATCAATCGTGAAGGTTTGTTTTTCAATAATTAAAAAAGATTATTATTTCAATCATCTTTTCTATATATATATATATATATATATATATATATATATATATATATATATATATATATATATATATATATATATATATATATTTGGGCAATTGAAATCTGATGTGGCATGCCTATCAATCCAGGAATGCTATTTTTCTTTTTTCTCGTATCTTTGCCTTTTAGTTATTTTTCTATTAAATATCTATATATTTTACCAGCAAAAAAATGGTAACCGTTGCAACACTTCAGTTGCTGAAATATATAGTTACAAGTTACAACTACTGGATTTAAATTATAGTGGCCCATGATTGAACTGTCTTTTCCTATTCAAGTTC